TTCGATATTTCCGTTCATAAACATAGTTCAAAAAAACTTTCTTGACCATTATATTAAAAAAAATACCATTTTTTACTAGTTGGCGAAAATGACACTATAAATACTTTATTTTAAAAAGTTCTGTTTTAACTTTAATTATTAAGAAAAATGAAAGCATATATCGACACTTTTTTTATCTACATATTCTCTTTGATTTTAAAATATGCCGTTAATAGCAATTTGTTCATACTTAATTATTAGGAAACATCAACCTTAAACGCTAATTACTGAAACAAAATAATAATTTAGGTTCATAATGACATTAGAAATTTTACAATTGTTTATAGATATTTAAATTTACAATGATATAATTTATAGATATTTAAATTTAAGAGAATATAATTTTTAAAAAAAATCATAAATATTTAGAATAACTACATTAAAAAATATGTTATGAAATTAGGAGAATTCCAACTATATACTATATATTTTATTTATACTTTTTATTTACATTTCAATTTTCTTTGACTTTATCCATTTTTTAATTTTTTTCACCTGCCTTTCTTTTTGAAATAACGAAGTGGTTTCTATTTAGATAATGAATTTTTATAAAAGTTCTTAACGACAGAATAAACGTATTGCTGTTTTATATTAACATTTCAGAATCCATTCTTTACATAGCTGTTCATTTACTTTAGGTAACAAGCGGAAAATTATATTTTTTCCTTTTGTTTTTCTATCAGAATTTTTTCAAGTTGCAATCGCGCAAACTGGCATTTCGATAATAGTTTTAAATTCGTGTAAATTCACTGCAAAAACTGAGGAAAGTCATTATAGAAAATAACAAATGTCTTAGAATATCTCGCAAAAAGAAATGCTCCAATATTAGTTAGAGCTAGTAAGGCCGAACGCTCCGTTCTTGAAGTAAAAGTGCGAGCTTTGCGCCAAAGTGACGTCACTAGAGAAAATCGGAGGATCGGCGCGGCGAGAGCTACTGCAAAGGAGTGAACCAGCCCTTCTATTCTCTTTAGCCCTGACTTCGCATTCACTCATTACCGATAAAAAAGAACTCGCTATAATCTTCTCTATTACCTTAAGGACATTGGATTTTTTTTACCTCGCTATAATCTTTTCTATTACCTTATGGAAATTGGATTTTTTACCTCCCTATAATTTTCTCTATTACCTTAAGGACATTGGATTTCTTTACCTTAATTAAATTTTACTTCTTTTTTTTAAAAAAAAAACTTTTTTTTTAAGGATCAAAAGTCGTTTAAGGTGTTCTTTTTTTTTACGCATTTTACATGTATAGATTAAATGTATAATTGAATAGGGTCACAACCATCACTTTTCAAGAAATAATTTGAAATAAAATCTAGATAAATATACTTAAAAGCAAAGGAAACCTTAGTTTAAAGCAATAGTCTTCGTGCTTTTTGCTTTTCTTCCCTTCTTTTCTAAAATTTGAAGAAAACTTTTTGTGCTGTAACTTAAAAGAAATCTGCATTTGCTTTACATGATGATAATAACAAGTAACCAAACTTAATAGGGGGAAAAACATTGATACAATTAAACTGATACAAAAATTCAGCAAAGCAGTATCCGGTTAAAAATATATTAATCACGGAATGTTTGTGGCAGCCCGAGGTAAATTCTCTTATAATGTACAATAATGACGAATTATTTGTAATGCAGAAAATTATATCTTTTTGAGAACTATTGTAGGTTGATAACTTAATGAGTTTTTCAGATCTTTAAGCTTATTAAAAAGGTTATGTATCCTAGTATGGAAAGTGTATAACTAAGTTACTCAGCCGAATAATGTGCAGTTTCACCAGGGTGATCAGCTCCGTATCACCTTGGTACCGTAATATGTATCCGCTGTAAGTGCCAAAAAACTTTTCAATTACCTAAGTCTTATCTGCATGCTACTTTGATAAAGTACACATTACCTAGTCAATATGCAGATTAATATATNTGAAAGATACTGGTACATTTTATGAATGATGTATTAAAAATCAAAAAGATTTTTATTACATTATATTTTAAAGCGTCTAGTTATGCAGATAGTGTGCATATTGAAGGATTTAAAAAAATATAATAGTTTTTATCCCTATTCTGTAAAAAAAAGAAAAAATTAATGTATACTAAATTTTATATTAAATAACTATTTCATAATTTAAGGTTTCCAGAAACTTTTGGAATTTTTACGGAAAAGAAAGATATGAAATAGCGATTAACACAAACTAATATTACATGGACATAGGAAAGCTATAAAAAACTTCTTCTTCTTTATCGACACTATGGCCTTGGGGAGGCCAGGTCTGTCTCAATTGGTTGTTTAGTCTAATAAGATTCTGTTTTTCAGTTTTTAAATCATCTTTTTCACATATATATATATATATATATTTTAAAAATATTTTATTTTAATAATTTTTCTCCTTTCTTTAAATTAATATTTAATAATTTTTATTATTAAATTATTATTAATATTTATTATTAAATTAATATTTAATATCTTTATTTTTTTCCATGTTTTCTCTACATTTTTTACTTTATATGTATACATACACATAAGCCAGTAAAGTAAGACCTAACTTGTTTTAAAAATTAACTTATATTTATTACTCTTAATGAATATTATTTTTTTAAAAACGTTAGAATTCCATTTACAAAATCAAAGTGTCAAATTCTGACTCGGGAACTTTAAACGAGCGTTCATTCAAAAACCTTGAAAGTTAATCTGCTAAAGGGGAAGATTTTTAGAATTTCGAACTATTTTCCATTATTAATCTCATAACTCTTCGAAGTGCAATAGTTTTAACAAATTCATGAGTAAAAATAAAATCGACGACTTACTAAAGCTGGCCCTGAATTCCTTCATGAGAGACTTCGCTGTCTGTGGAGCCATTTTCTGTGGATTGAGTTTCTGAGCAGAAAGACTCCCAATATTTACGAGAGAATTTTCTCTTTTTTTTTACCCAAGAAATTAAACATAAACAGCTGTTATTATGGCATTAAATCTCTCTTCTTTTGTTTTCCTCATAGAGAGAGAGATACTCTTTATAATTTGTTCTTTGTCCACAGATTGCATGATTGTTCGATAATGGTACGCACGTGAACTAATTGGCCGGATCTATACTCATGTGATTTTGAGAACTTCGCGTGTAAGTTGCATCTGATAAATGATGCCACATCATCAAAATGTCCAATACGATTTTAAACATTGTTTTCCAAATACCACTTGATGATTCACATTTTTATATGACAAAAGATTCTCCTAAATTACGATTTCTTTATTTCAGAATGACTAACACGTTAATAATTCATGGCTATTCACTTAATTAAGATGAAAAACATGGGACGTACCATTTTTGAAACGAAGAATTACATAACAATTTTTTTACAAAAAATCATGCGCACAGTGTTTATTGTTTTAGGCGTAACAAAAAGTGATTCATTTTCACAAGGAATGATGTTTCTAAGAAATTTTCATTTTATTTCACTGTTTTCTTCTTTTTAATTTTATGCCTGTTATTAGTTAGCTCATGTTGGAAGGTGGTTGAAATTTACAGTTAAATGGAAAATAAGTTTTACTTGAAACATTTAGAAAAGAAACTGCAGCTAGTGTTACCACAAGTCTCAGAGCTCCATTTTAAATCTGAGCACGCCAGTTTATCGGAAAGTAGTCAAAATTTTCGTTGACCACACATTGTATTTGAAGCAATTAAAGAAATTGAAATATGGTTTGGTTAACAAAAGATGTAGAAAAATGTACAGGAAATAGGATGGAATAAAAAAAATTCAACGTTCGATAATTAATATGAAAATTATCAACTGCTAAACTTGTAGGAAAAAATACCGTACGGGCCGCTCTATAGCCACAGACAGTATATAATAATACATTGTAACATCTAAATGACATATAATATTACATTGCCTGACTGAAAATGCTAATCAAATTGTCGTATTCTCTTTCTTTTTTTTTAATGATTTTTTTTCAAAATCAGCTGTTTTTTTATAATTTTATACTTAAAAACCGTTGGTGAACAGCCGACCCAAAGTTTGGAGTTTACGACTTTTAATGTTCAACTCCATAGCCTTGTAGCTTTGAATCCAATCCAGAAGACAAGGGAATAACTCCTGGATCAAGTATTGGGAGCAATTTGCCTTCGTGCAGTGTTTGTTGGATTAACCCGCATTTGCGTTGCGTGGAGAGGAAAACCTCCATTGGTTAGCCTGACGGCAAAGGGATTCTAACCCATGATGCATCAACCAATGAGGATATTTTACGTCTGCACTGTGGTTGTTGCGAGCTGAGTGCAGAGAAAATAGCCATATCATGCCAAGATAATATTAAGCCAAGTTCTCTTTAGGGGGCAATGAGGGATACCCACTTAAAGGTCAGAAAGCAATATTCCTTATCTTGACAGATGTTGGTTTACTGGGAATATGCTAGTGAGAAATTGAATACTCCGAATAATCTTACAAATTTAATTATTAAAAGAAGTAAAAAAAATTATAGTTAATATTTGTGTATAATAAATATTTTGGACAGTTCAAATTAATTTTAAAGGAAAAGTAATTTTGAGATTTCGCCAGAAAAAAATAGCTTTCCCATAACGCCATGTTAATTCTACGTGAAAAAGTTTGTTTCGGTTTTTTTTCCCCGGTAAATTTTGGCTCTTGACCAACCAGAGAATGTTACTCATATTTCCAAACTCTCAAACGAAGTTAGATAGCGGGAATTCTTGCTTGATTTGATGCCTAAAATAACAAAAAGAAAATTAATAAATAAAACATAAGAGTGAGAGATAAGATGTTGCCAGATATTAATCTTAATATTTTATTTATATCGACATTTTTAAAAATACCAAGACTGAAGGGAAATAAAAACTATTTCCGATGTGAACTGTTATAATATGGGTATCATTCCGTCGACCATTATCGCCAAATCTGAAAATAAATTTAGAAGTAGTTCAAATTTAAATATTTTCCTACTTACATACAAATATCACTTATCGCATGCTATGACTGATATCTGGTAAATGATATCTGCATTTTGTCCATTTTATTTATAATCAATTGCTACGTAAAAATAAATTTGGAAGAAACCAAAATGACCCTGGCACAATGTTGACGAAAATGGTAGACAGGATAAGTACCGTCATATGATATAAGGTTATCGTTATATAATAGAGAGATTTCGCAAATTTACATTAGCTTCCGTACACAAAAGATTTCAAGTAATTGCGCATGCGCTCGTCTATTGCACATTCGTCAGTTCTGGAGAAATGCGTATGATCCCGTGAAAAAATATCAAACTTACGTTGGTGAAAATAAATGATTTTGCGAAAATCAGCAAGTTAAAAACGCTAACGTAGTCGAATATCATTTTAACTTTGACCACAAAATCAAAACAAACATTAACAATGGATGTATAGCTCGTTCACCAGGAGTTGGCACTTAGCTCCGCCTTCATCACGTGGTACGCGACGATACTATTTCGCTATTTTTGGGAGAAGGTTGTGAGCAAACTTGAACAATGTGTTTGCCGCGTGGGC